GCCCGCCTGCCTGCCTGCCCTGCCTACTCTGCTTACTGTGCAGGTCTCACGCCACCCGGGAGCTGATCCTGAAGGGTGTGCCCTACACGCCGCTGTGGGGCGACGCGGCCCTCATCAGCAACCGGCGCCTCAGGTGGGGCGACGCTCTGCAGGGCCTGCACTGCAGGGGTCCCGCCGGTGCTGCCACACCCCCTCCTGCTGCTCCTCCTGCCTGGAATTTCCGACAACATGTGCGGGCCTCCGCCCGTGCTCCGTGGCCCCGCCTGAGCGCTTGCCCTGTGCCATCCTGCGTGCCATGCGCCCCTCCTGACTCGCCGCAGCGACCAGTTTGCCGCAACCTCTCCGGTGTTCAAGATGAGGCAGCACCTGCCTGGTGGCACGCCCGGTGGCAGCACACCCGGTGGCAGAGCTGGCAGCGGCGGCGGCAGCCGCAAGGAGGAGGAGGAGGAGGAGGAGGCAGGTGTGTGCCCCGGCAGCCAGTTGCCGGCAGCGGAACCTGGGCCTGCCATTGCCTCCAGTTGCTGAATGGCTGGCCAAGCATGCCTGCAGGCCCCGGCAGCGGCGCCGCCTCCCGGCAGAGCGCACAGCACCGGCGGCGGCAGCAGCAGCAGCAACAGGAGCACGGCAGTGGTGGCGGGGAGGCAGGGGAGGGCGGCGGGCGGTATGTGCGGCTGCGGTTCGCTGTGGGCCGCTTCTGCTGCGCGCGCCTGGCGCTCTACCACGCCCTGTTCCACTGGCGCCGCCGCCTGCTGGCCCGCCTGAAGGCGGAGCTCAAATCGGAGTTGCGCAGGCGCAGGGTGGGTGGCGGCCCCTGCCTGCCTGCCTGCCTGCGCAGACATGCCTTGTATGGTTGTTGACGCGGGCACCACTGCAGCGCCCTGTGCCTGCGGGTGCCAACCGCCCGCAGCCTGCTCTCCTTTTGGGCCCCCTGCCTGTCCGCCTGCCTGGCTGCCTGCCCGCCCCACCTGGCAACCATGTCCCGCCCTGCGTGCCCGCCTGCTTGCGTGCAGCGCGGCGGCTTCCCGCGGGACCGCTCCTCCGTGTGCGAGGCGGTACTGCGCAAGGACTCGCTGCTGGCCGACCTGTACCGCAACTTCAGGCGCCTGCTGGAGCTGGCCGGTGGGTGGATGCGCCCTGGGGTGGCCGAATGCATGGCAGGAGCGCGTGGCTGGGATGCAAGGGCGGCTGGGAGGCAGTTGGGCAGCCGCACGGCACTGTGGCAGCCCTCCGCTCCACGCGCCAGCGGCTGTGCGGCGTGCCCTCCAGCCCTGCTGCCATTCCTGCCAGTGCCGTGCCCCGCCTGGTCCCACCCCGCCGCCTCCCCCGGCCGCAGAGCGGTACCAGCTGTCGGGCGGGGAGGAAAGCCGGGGAGGGTGGAGGTCTGAGTTTGGGGAGATGCACGCTGGTGAGGTTCGGTAGGCGGGGCACTGAGGCAGAGTTGGAGTGGGCAGGGTCGGGCCCGCTCAGCGCCGGGCCCGCTCCCTCTGCCTCTAGCTGCAACCCCGGCATGCCTCATGACGCAAAGAAGAAAGCAGAACAGCCGTAGGTCCCGCCGCTTCCTCCCGCCTGCCTGCGTGTGCCTGCAGAGGTGACCGCCGCCCAGGCAGAGCTGCACAGCGACAGCGAGGCGGATGAGGCGAGCGTGGTGTGGCCCGACGAGGCCAGCAGCAGCGAGGAGGAGAAGGAGGAAGAGGATGGTGATGAGGAGGAGGAAGAGGAGGAGGAGGAGGAGGGCGCAGGCGCAGCGGGCAGCGGCGGCGATGGCCGGCCGGCCAGCCGGGGCCGCCGCCTGCGGCAGGGGCGCATCCAGTTTGGAGCCTCGTCGCCAGTGCAGCAGCAGCAAGAGCTGCAGCCGCAGCACGAGCAGCAGCCACAGCGGCAGCAGCAGCAGCAGCAGCAAGAGCAGCAGCAGCAGCAGCAGCAGGAGGGTGGGCAAGCTGGTGTAGAGCCGGCTGCCCAGGCGTCGTGCCCGGAGCCCTCGCCCCCACCCCAGCAGCCGCAGCAGCCGGGGCAGCGGCGCCTGAGCGCCGCAGGCCTCAAGCAGATTGACATCCGCCGCTTCTTCGCCAGCCCCAAGCAGCAGCAGGGCCCTGGCAGCAGCAGCGGCGGCGGTGGCGCTGGAACCGATGCCGGCACCCTGGGCGGAGCGTGAAGATCCCAGGCACCTGCTGTTTGCATCCATTGTTTCTGAGCTCCAACACGTTGCTTCTCAGGGATGTATGGTTCTATACAGTGTGGCACTGACAAGAACAGCTTAACAACCGACCACAGAGCGGTTGCGGTGGCGGCGGTGGTGCTGGCAGCCGTTGTCATCGGCTTGGGTCGTGGGGGCTTGAACCTCCTTGCCGTGGTGCTCCTTTCCTTACATGGTCGCCAGGCAGGATGTTGTGCTGTCCTTCAGCACTGCAAGCGTTGGGTTGATGAATGCCTTGAATTCTTTCATGCGTATGGGTTATCTGCCAGTGGTCCGGCGTAGATCTCTTCTGTCCGACCAGCTAGCTTGTGCTGCCACCCAATGAACCAAGCCACGCTGTCTATCTGCTGCCTCCGAGCTGTGACTGCGCTGCTCTGCTCCGCGCTAGGGCGCCTTGATGAAGGCAAACACGAGGGAGGGGCTGATGTCGGCTCCAGAGGGCGCGCCGGCAGCGCGCAGGGCGGCCGCCACGTCTGCGGGGAGGGCCATGAGACGAGCGGGCACGCGTCGCCCACACGAGTCGGCCGCCAGTGTGCACGCGCCAGCCACCCCACGGCAGGCTGCCCCGCCCGCTCATCCCCGACGCCGGCGCTCACACCTTCAGATCTGACCTGAGCCTTGGCCCCCTGTGTCGCTTGCTCTCTGAGGCGGCTCCCACCCGCCCGCCTGCCCGCTCCCCCAGCCTCTGTGCTGGGGTGGGTGGCGTCTCTGAGCCGCTTGTGCCGCCTGCTGTCGGCCAGCCAGCGGTGCTGGCTGGCCTGGCGTGCCCCTAGTTCTCTCCCAGCACTGCAGCGCATGCGCTCGTTTGATTTGGTGCATCTGATTTGAGTGGCCAAAGCCCCTAACAACATCATTTGGCCCCCCCGGAAGGTGACAGGAAGTTTGGGATGGGCGGCAGTAGGGGAGGAGACCAAGGAGTGTGGGAGGTGGTGGGCCAGCTCACGCAGATTACATATCCCCCTGCACCCTGCGCACCTGGCTTCCACTTCCTGCTGCCCTCGCCTTCAGCCCGTGGCCGCAGTACGGCAGCAGCAACGCTGCTGGCAGCCATGCCCGGGCCCGGCGGGCCGCAGATGGCAGCCTGCTGTCGTCGGCCGCTGTTGGCGGCCAAGCCATGTGCGCCTGCTCCTCACCCTGGTCGCTCAAGACCCTCCCCATCATACTGCTCCCCGTGTGACTGCCCCAGCTGGGGATCAGGGTCGTCATCCCGGCGCTTCGCAGCTGCCTGTGCGGGCACGGCGGCTTGCCAGCAACAGCGACGCCAGGCGGCGCCGCCCTTTGGGCGACTGCTGCGGCGCGCAGCGGCGACCTTATAATCCATCCTATGGAGCCGTTTGGAGCGTGCTGGGCCGCCCAGAGCGGCAGCCAAAGCCCCCGGGGGAAACGGGCACCGGATGCGGGGCCTCTAGGCCGCAGGGTCGCTGCTGCGGGCCTGTGGCCGGCTAGTAAAATGGCCTATTGACACTTGCATTGAATGTTTTTATCGAGCATTCATGAAAAAAAGAGACCGGATTTGGGTTTAGGGGGGCACAAGGTTTAGTGGGGCACAAAATTTTGGCCCCCTGCCCGGCTGGTCACGGTTAGTCATGACCGGGGGGTTGCACGTCATATTGAAATCATACCTCATCGCTAGTAGAATATACAAACTTCGCCAACTGGAGCCGACCGAAGCGAAACTTCGAGGGGCAATGACGCCAGAACCTGTCCGTGAGTGCCCTCCGGGTGCCATGGTTTTGCCGTGCGAACTCCTGCTCAGATTCACATAATACTACGAGCGCGTTTACATGTCTGCGAGATCGGAGGGGCTGCGCTTTCTGCTGGCGGGGTTGTGTGCTTGCCCTTGCAAGCCCTTCAATCTGGCCGGCGCCGCTAACTAGTAGTATAACACTAGTTATAACCGCAAGCAAAAAACGCCGTTGGTGCCTGGCCCCGTAGGCGCCGCGCCCCATGCGGACACCCCGCAGGACTTTGACGTTGTCGTGGTAGGCGGCGGCATATCAGGCCTCACCACCGCCCGCAACCTGCTGCGTGAGGGACACCGCGTGGCAGTGCTGGAGGCGCGCGGCGGCCTGGGTATGTCTGGCTGGCTGCCCGGTCTAGCTGGCGCCGGCCCGCTCGCTGTGCCTGCATCGGTCCACATATATGGCTGTACTTGCATCGGGTTCCACTATATAGCCGCTGCCTCTCCCCCTTGAGGCGCCTCGACTGCCCCCGCCTCCCCACGCTCCTCACTGCCTGCTGCAGGTGGCCGCTGCCTGCGCCTGCCCGTCACCCACGCCGACGGAACGCCTGTGCGCTGCGAGCTGGAGGTGTGCGACCCCGCCTCGGTCAACAACACCTACTACTACGATGTGGGCGGCCAGTGGGTGGGCCCCACGCAGACCCGCTTCCTGGCCATGGCGGAGGAGTATGGGGTCAAGAAGTACGAGGCGACGCAGTGTGAGTCAGGCGGTGCTGCAAGGTGGCAGCGAGTGGCGGGCGCGCCGCCGGGCGCCCAACACCCGTGGCTCCGGACGCAACACCTCAGCTGCCCCGCCACACCAGGAGAAGGGAGGGTAGCAAGCGCGAGGCACGTTCACCACGCTGGGCATGTTCATAGATTATGCCGCCACGGCCCGCCACGGCCCGCCTGCAGGGCAGGGCCAGACCCGCCTGTACGTCAACGACACCCCCATCATCGTCTCCTCCGCGGTGCTCATGGGCCTGCCGGTGCCGGAGGCTGAGCTGGCGGGGTTCTCCGCGGAGCAGCGTGCCTCGCTGGGAGAGTACGCTCGCCTGGTGGGCCTGCTGAAGGACATCAGTGAGTTGCACGGCTGCAGCTGCACGCATGTGCATGCATCGCCCGGCGCGCCTGAGAGCAGCAGCGCCTGCCCTGCCGGAGCAGGGGCCGTGCGGTCTTGGGGCCGTGAGGGTCCATGCTGCAAGCCTGCTTGCACTGCAGCCAGACTGGCAGCCTCCCAAAGCAAGGGCACGCCACTATGCCTGCACTCGCTGTTGCTCCTGCAGTCGATGTTGTGGATGTGGAGGAGCCGTGGAAGACGCCCAATGCGGCGGAGCTGGATGCCATCACTTTCCAGTCCTGGTGCGTGCTGCTGCCACAGCAGTGCTACCACAGCAGTGACAGACGCTGGGCCTGTCCCGCCGGCAGCAGGTGTAGCGGAGTTCTCTTGTGCAGAGTGTGCGCACATGCTTGGCTGGCAAGTGTGCGTGTGCATGGCTGTCCCATTGTCTGCAGGCTGGAGAAGAGCAGCGATGACAAGTTTGCGCGGGACTTGCTGGCGGCGATTGAGCCGCTGGGGGGCGGCGCCCTTGGCGGCATCCGCCCCGGCTGGGTCTCCGTGCTGCACGTCGCTCGCCAGGTGAAGTCTGCCCCTCAGGCTGAGGAGCCTGAGCGGTACCTGTTCTGGGGGGCTGCCGGTCAGTTTGTCGACCATCTGTCCAAGGTGAGCTGATGGCCGCACTGTGCCGGGGCTGCGCATGGTGCCAAGTAGAAGATCTATGGAGACCTGCGGCCCAGCAGGGCCAGCACCAGCAGGGCTCCACAAGCTGCATGCCTGTATGCGCTTGGGCTTCACGCACTGCAGGAGGTTACCGAGCTGGGTGGCACCCTCGTGGTGAACGCGCCCGTCCGCCAGATTGAGCAGACCGAGGAGGGCGTGACGGTCCTCAGCGACGCCGGCAGGCGAGTGCCTGCCCGCCTGCTGCCTGCCTGCCTGCCCCTGTGCATGCATGCATGCATGCATGCTCGCCGACCCGCCTCGCTGCCGTCTTTCACTCACCCGAGCATTCATTCATTCATTCAGCACACAGACCGGCCGCCTCTTGCTCGAGGGCGGCCCACTTTGGCCTGGGCAGCCCGGGCCGCCCTCCCCCCCGGGCGCATGTTCGGTGTTGGAGGGGTGTGCCCAGCGATAGGGGGGGCCTGAAGGCATGCGCCGAGGCCGGGAAGCGTGGTTCGGCGCTGCTGCACGCTTGGCGATTTGAACAGAACCACGTGCCGCCGAGCTGCGGCCGCAGTTTCCGGCCCACGGTCTACGGTCGCAGCCACGGGACTCGGCGGCACGGCGTTTGGGCCCAAGCTTGCTGCCGCCGCCGCCGTGCCCGGGGGGCAGCGCGGCGGCGGCGGGGGCACGCTGCGACGCCCCCGTGCTGCCGAGTTGCGGCCGTAGTTTCCTGCCAGAAGCCCACGGCCACAGCCACGGGACTCGGCGGCACGGCGTTTCGGTCCACGGCTTGCTGCCGCCGCCGTCGCAGGGGTGCTGCCTGCGGCGGCGGCGGCACGGCGTTTGGGTCCTCGGCTTGCTGCCGCTGCCGCCGCCGCAGGGGTGCTGCCTGCGGCGGCGGCGGCAGCGCACGTGGCAACCCCCCGCGTTTCCTTGCCTCCCATCCACCGGACCTCGTCCTGCGCTTCACTTTGTTTAGGGAGGGGCTGCTCACTGCTCATTGCTCATTGCTCATCGCACACTGCTCAACGCTCATTGCCCTATATCCCACCCAGCCGCAGGACTCTACTGCCGCCCGCGCCCCGCCCCATCTGGCCGCTTGCGCGCCCCATCCCCCCTCGATGGGGCCCGCCCACACCGGGGCCTCCCCCCTCCCGACCACTGATTTCTCAACGGCGGTACC